TAACAACTTCAAGCATGTCTTCCACATCATCAAAATCTACAACAACTGTAACTACTTCAACGAAATCTTCCACATCTTCAATGTCTACAACGACCGTAACTACTTCAACAAAATCTTCCACGTCTTCAAAGTCTACAACAACTGTAACTACTTCAACGAAATCCTCCACATCTTCAATGTCTACAACAACAACTTCTGCTTCTACCATTTCTCCAAAAACGACGACTTTTCTTTTAACATCACCAGCAATAGCTACTCCACTAGCGCTCTCAGCTCAAATAGAAGCACAATATTGGTGGTATTGGTGGTGTTGGTGGCATCCAACAAGTACTGTTTGTTTTTGGGGCGTGTGGAATCCGATTGTTTAAATCCGTTCATACTGTGTCTTCGGAATCGTTTGGTTTGCCTTCTCTGCAGTTAAATAATCAATCGGTTCAACGATGCTTCGAAAAAGAGTATTCAACGTTCTTTTGTTGTCCACTTTTAGTTTTGTTATCAGAATTGAAAAAGAGAAAAAGAAGTGGGTCCTTGCAACTTGTGTTAATTCATGTTTATATTCTGATGAAATGTCATTTCGGTTTTAAATTCCGTGCTTTTTATTTAAGAACTTTTTAACTCCTCGATATTTATAAAAGTGGTGTTGAGCAATAAATGCTGTTGCAGTACTGTTAATAACTACTTTTTACCTACATAACTATCGTGATGCCATCAGTATGAATTTCTTCTTCTTAACATTCATTCGAATTGAAGCTGTTTGGCGCTAAAGTTTTGTATAATATCTGAGTATATCGAGCTTCCATCGTCCCGAGTGGTGGAGCTAAGTAACCACTAGTAATGGTTCCATCAAAAATCTCTATATAATTTTCTTTATATATAAATAATCGTTTTATATAATATAATTTATAATTTCGGCGACATTCTTAAGTGCAGCTTGAAAATTTGTCAACCAAACAAGATGACCTTCCTGTATAAATTTCGGACAGTAATATTTTACATATTACATTTTGCAATAAACAAGCAGAATACAGGCATTTTTTCATGTCACATGTTCAGAGGCCCCATTTTCTTATATTAATTTGCTTGCTTTTTCTTTTATTACTCTGATCGACGATTTCTCACTACTAAGCCATGTGTTGAATAATACGGCAGATACCGTCTTTGGTGCCAAGGATATAGCCCGCGATTTATTGACATTTTTCGCCGATTTAGATCAAATTATGATGCCAGCATACTTTCCTTTATTTTTGCGCCACACTTTCAAAAGATTGAAAATGATTCCTAAAATAATAATCGACAGATTTCTAGAACATTGAACAAATTTCTTTGCAGACAATGGTTGTTTCTATGCCTGATATTTTCAAGCATTTTTCGCATGGTATATACCCTACTGCGGACGAAAGGTTGGAAAAGTAAGATTTTGTTTTACCTAACTTAACCGTAAGATAGAATTGGTCTGAAATACAGCCACGCCTAGGAAATGTGCTTGGAAAGAACAAAATGTTTTCATTGCTGATCTGGCCCTAAAGAGCTTTATGTAAGAAACGCGACGAAATAAAGAAACAAAGAACAAAGAATTTCAAAAATGGTGAAGGAGCAAACGGAAGCCGAAAGACAGTGACGGCCACAGTTGCGGATGATGGCATCCGAGAAACGTATATGATATGTGGGAAAATAAGACTAATCAATTTGGATAAACCAAGCAAAAGCTTTAATTTTCTTTGATATAGGAAGTGGTTGTAATATAAGAAAAATAAAGAAAATAAGCAAGTCATAATGTCTTCCCACTATATGAATATGCTGGAATTTGCATATCTCATTTGTATATGAATGGATCATACAAAATTCTGAAGAAAGAATAATTAATTAGTTTCAAACAAATGAGTCATGACAAACGTATAAATTATGCTATGCTAATTATTAATTGATTTCATTGTTTTATTGGTCAATGAGAAAAACTGGTACGTTGTTGTATTATTTACAAGTCTTCTTATTTACAAGTCTATTTACAAGTCTGTAATCTTCTTGCGCTGATGGTCGTTGTGATGAGAATAATTTTTCGTGGAAATTCAAACGATAAAGTTGAATTACAGAAAAATGTTAAAAGGTTATAATAATGGTGATGAGAAAACGGATAACAAAACCAACAAATTGTTTTCTGTGCCGATCACAGTAAATGTTTGCAAAAATTCTATTTCAATAAGAATTTATAGCTAAAATGAGACCATTCTCCTCAGCGGTAGAGCTCTATGAGATATAGAACTATGAC